TAATTCTGCCTGTGTCTGTTTTATAGGCTGCACGTAAACAGCCTTCTATGCTTGGTTTGGTCTTTGGGTTTACTTGGTGGGAAAGCTAGCCATCACTTACCCTAAGAAAGCAGAGATAACATGATCATATGAGGGTATTAAAAGATTTGTGGAAAATGTAATTAAAAGATGGAGTTATTTTGATGTAAAATTTTTTGGAAATCCACGCATATCAGAGGTCTCTAAAGAGTTCATGGAAAATGTATGTTATGAAAAATCTATGAATGGATTTCAGGTTTTTTGTACCAAAATAAACTTTCCATTCTATACTTCCATGAACTTTTTGAATTACTCTGGTATTTGTGTTTTATAGGAAAGGACATCTGGTGTAGAGGTTAAGATGCAAGTTGGGACACTGCATCCCATATGGAAATGCCTAGGTTTGGGTCCCAGCTCTGCTTCCAATTCCAGCTTCCTGCTAATGAGCACCATGGGAAGTAGCAGACGATGGCTCAAGTACTTGAGTCCCTGCTACCCATGTGGGATAGCTACATTGAGTTCCTGGTTTCGGGCTTCTATCTAGCACAATATCAGTTGTTACAGGCATTTGGAGAGTGAACTAGTGGATGGGAGATCTCCATCTCTCTGACTCTCTCTGCTTTTCAAATAACAGTAAACAAGTAAATAAAAATTTTAGTGTTTTACTAAAATTTTTCTAATCGCAGCATTGAGGTTCAGTTTTTGGAGCCTGAGGATTATCTGTTACCTCTCAATCTTGGATTTTATGAATATCATAAGTAATAGAAAAATATTTCATTTACCAGACCAAGGCATTCATTGGTTTTCAGGGTTTGTTTGCAGAATTGGCAAAGATGATTCCTTATGCATTGCCATAGCTCTTCCAAAGAGAAAATTTATTGCTCATCTTAATTAAAAATTTACTTTATTAGCATTCTGACATGAGGATGAAATAAATAATCAGCTATGGAGATAAACATAAGTCATTTAAACCTGAATGTTTTTACTGAAATGTAATTTCAGTAAATTGTAACTATGAGACACACATTAGAGAATTTATACACAAGAGATTAGATATGAAATCCAAGGCAGAGTATATTAAAATGGAGACAAAAGGCCAGGTATGAGAGTTATTCTGAATGACAGTTTTATTCTGTCACTTAAAATTAAAATTTTCTTTGCTTATGATGGTTATTAGTGCCTTCATTTCCAGACTGAATGACATTGTATTTGTATTTCTGTCACAATCACACCATGTCAGATACATACTCTATGTGAGGATGGAGAGGGAGTTTGCCATTTTATAGCATCTGGACATAAGGCTATACCATCAATCAAAATAAATAATATCCTAAGTGGAGTGAACCAACAAAGAAAGATGCACTAGAAATGGAATATAAATCCTCCTTTCATATGCCAATTACAAGATAATATTGCAGACACTGGAATATTTCATTTGCAATATGAATCCCAGAAGAAATAATTAAAGGATATAAAATGACTATTACCAAAATGAATCTAAAACAATAAAAGTTCTCTATTGTAAATGGCTGGAAACTGACAGTGCATTTCCTCATCAAGCTATTCAGTGTTAAGGCTTATGGTTGATACTTCAAAAGATTTGTGGGAAAATGAAGTTAAAAGATAACTTTATTTTGGTTCAAAAATGTTGAAATCAGTGTTTTTCAATAATACATGTTTTTTATGTACTTTTGGAAGAAAGTATGTGTGGATTTCTAAAGTTTTTTTACCAAAATGAACATTATTTAATTCAATTTTCCATGAACTTTTTGAAGTACCCTCATGTGTATATATATATTTATTATTTTTGACTTTCCTAGAGCTAATTTCATTTTTAACTTGAGAAAAACATTAATATTTTCCACTGCTTAATATACCTACAGATTCATATTGATATATAATTCTCTTAATTCTGTCTGTATCAAACAGCCCAGGTGAGACTACAGATGTAGAAAGTGCAATACGGGAATTGCTTTTGCAGAGAGCTGACGCAACAATAAACTCTGTAAGAACACACATGTTCGGCCGGCGCCGGGGCTCACTAGGTTAATCCTCCGCCTTGCGGCGCCGGCACACCGGGTTCTAGTCCCGGTCGGGGCACCGGATTCTGTCCCGGTTGCCCCTCTTCTAGGCCAGCTCTCTGCTGTGGCCAGGGAGTGCAGTGGAGGATGGCCCAAGTGCTCCTGCCATCGGATCAGCGCGGTGCGCTGGCTGCGGTGGCCATTGGAGGGTGAACCAACGGCAAAGGAAGACCTTTCTCTCTCTCTCTCTCTCTCTCACTGCCCACTCTGCCTGTCAAAAAAAAAAAAAAAAAAAAAAAAAAGAACACACATGTTCAACAAGGAGACAAAATAAAAGCTATTTATTCAGCACTCGCTGTGTGCCAGGCTGAAGCAGCCTAAACTCATGTCCTTTCATTTAATTCCTGTGCTGAGCCTACGATAGACTACATCATTGTCCGCGTTTCACAGACGCAGTTCTGGGAGATTAAGTAACTTGCTCTGGGTTTTGGAGGGTGCAAGTGATAGATCTGAATCCAGACTCACATCCTCTTAGGCTGATCTTTATGCTACCCCTCCGTCACACCTGAGGACTCGGAGACAGCACGTGTTCCCTAATTACCTTAGCCACGTCCCTGTCACAGCATATTTTTCATTGTTTTTTAATTGTCCTTTTATTGTGAATTTCCTTGGCTTCTGTGTTGGCTCCTTTAAAGCAAAGACAGTGTGTTATTCTTTTTAGTTCCAGGGATTTAACATAGCCGTGAAACCCATAGCAGAAACTCAATAAGTGTCCACAGATGACTAATTTTGTACAAAACCACTAAAGGTAATATATTAAAGAATATTAAATTATTATGCAAAATAACTAATGTGGACCAAAGCACCTATTGCTTCTAGAGTTATTAGGCATTCCTTTCCTCAAAGATGAAATTTGTTTCAGAAAGGTAAGTGAGTTGGCAGCTGCTGCCTCCAGGAATTTGAGGGGTATGAAAATAAAAACCCACGGACGTAATTAAGTGATATGAAATACTGTGTACAATGTTAGGAAACCTTTAGAGAAGGGATACTGAAGTTATAACTTAATTAATGGTTTTTAAATTTAAGTGAGACCGTCTTACCCATAGTGAGGCAACCAGTGTGCCATTGACAGTGGGTCCAAAAATGAAAGAAGCAGTCAAGGGAATATTTCAAGCCTCAGGTAATTTTTTAGAGGTTAAAGTGCAATTAAGCACAGGAAAGGAAAGTGTTTTATGCTAAACATTATGTGAGGGAAAATCAACTTAGTCAGCTTCGAGGGATCTAAGTCCTATCGGAGAAGAACATTTCTGATGAGAGGGAGTCGTTCACCAAGGGAGCTGGAGGATTCTAAATGAGTGGGCATGTACTTCTTCTTCTTCTTTTTTTTTTTTTTTTTTTTTTTTGACAGGCAGAGTGGACAGTGAGAGAGAGACAGAGAGAAAGGTCTTCCTTTGCCGTTGGTTCACCCTCCAATGGCCGCCACAGCTGGCGCACCGCACTGATCCGATGGCAGGAGCCAGGTACTTCTCCTGGTCTCCCATGGGGTACAGGGCCCAAGCACCTGGGCCATCCTCCACTGCACTCCCTGGCCACAGCAGAGAGCTGGCCTGGAAGAGGAGCAACCGGGACAGAATCCGGCGCCCCAACCGGGACTAGAACCCAGTGTGCCGGCGCCACAGGCGGAGGATTAGCCTAGTGAGCTGCGGCGCCGGCCGGGCACGTACTTCTTTAATGTGGATGATGCAGACGTCTGTAATCCACCTGGCTCCATGGTGTTCTGATTAAATGTGACTGTCATGTCCATTTTCATTTGGGTCTTTAGCTGCCCCGTTGGGAGCCACAGCCAAGAAAAGCTCTCTGCTCCTTTCCCTGTAACCACGATTCTACTGGTGCTCACTGTTGTCAAGGATGTCCAGAGCTTGCATTCTGCTACCGCCCTTAGAGATCTGGAGGAGCCGGGACAGCACTGTGGCGTAGCGGGTAAAGACGCCGCCTGCAGTGCCGGCACCCCATATGGGCGCAGTTTGAGTCCCAGCTGCTCCACTTCCAATCCAGCTCTCTGCTATAGCCTGGGAAAGCAGTGGAGGATGGCCCAAGTCCTTGGGCCTCTGCACCTGAATAGGAGACCTAGACGAGGCTCCTGATGCCTGGCTTTGGGTTGGCCCAGCTCCAGCCATTGCGGCCACTTGGGGAGTGAACCAGCAGATGGAAGATTCTCTCTCTCTCTCTCTCTCTCTCTGCTTCTCCTTCTCTCTCTGTGTTAACTCTGACTTCCAAGTAAATAAATAAATATTAAAAAAGAAAGAAATCTGGAGGAGCCAAAGATGGCTCAGCAAGGACTCCTGCAAACTAATGCTGACATACCTGGGTGCAGCACACCCTTTCCTGGACCTTTGCCAGGAATGAATGTGTTTGTAGGAGGAAAATCGTTCCACGAGACTAAAACACCTCTAGAGTGGAGTTATATCAACCAGCTAACATGTCAAGCTGTCCCAGAGGGCTTTTGTTGATTTGCTTTCTGACACCTGGCTGATATGACTCCATTCCCAATGTGGCCTAAACACCACAGTTCTGAATTTGGATTCAGTTATGAAAAAATCGGCAAGAGTTGAGTGAAGGCTGTTGCCCTGTTTTCCTTAGCTCTTTGATGAAATGACATAAGACTTTCTCCTGATACCCTTCTTGACCCCTACCACTGGTGGGGAGCCCCTTCTTCTGAAAGCAGTTGCCATGGTGTTGTGTCCTAACAGTGCAAGTCAGCGCATCTCAGGGGATTGTCGCTCCCAGAGCAGAGCTGGGTCTTGTCAACATTGCCTGCCCAGCTCCTCCACGGGGTGCAGCAGACATAGTCCCCATCAATAAATATTTGTCGGACGATGGACGAGCTCTCATTTCTTTTTTTTTTTTTTTTTTTAAGTGAAATCTCTCCCTCTTGCTTACCCACCTCTCACTTTTCTTCAGGTCCTCTCCATCTGTCCCAAGGACATGAGAGCGGATATCTGTGTCCACCTGAACAGGAAGGTCTTCAATGAGCACCCTGCATTCCGACTGGCCAGCGACGGGTGTCTGCGTGCCCTGGCGGTGGAGTTCCAGACCATCCACTGTGCTCCCGGCGATCTCATTTACCACGCCGGGGAAAGCGTGGACGCCCTGTGCTTCGTCGTGTCTGGATCCTTGGAAGTCATCCAGGATGACGAGGTGGTGGCTATTTTAGGTACTGTGAACTTTCCTCATGTAGTAGCGAAAGGGATGTTGCTTCTCAGCTTTTGGAACAGAAGTCTGTTCCGGTGGCTTTGGCAGTAGGGTCACGAATGGGATGATGTAGGAAAACAGCGTGCGGGATGACTGTGGGGGGAATAACCTATGGTGTTAGCTCCAGGGGGCAGAGGAGCCTGTTTAATCCACCCTTTCCTTTGGAGAGAGGCCCTCTCGGAAGCCCAGAAGAGCTAAGTGACCTGCCTGGGTAGTGAGTGAGTGAGTTAGGGTCTCAGCACAAATGCCTGACTACAGTGTGTCTTTTTCTCATCACTGTGGACCTAAGTAATGAGCTTATTAGGAGCAATAAGAGCCACTGAGTCTTCCCCATTATATGACTGTGATCATAACACAAGTAAATGCAACTGAGGCTGACAAAGTTGATTCTGTTCATCCATATTCGTACATCAGGGAATTATTTGGCTCATGGTAAGTCCATCCTAAAATTCAGAGACCCGGCAGGTAGTTGTACTCAGAACAAGGACAAGGCAGTGACAATGCATGTAATGATGATTCTCTAAAAATGTGTATTTGTGGGTCGTTTAAGATATATGAATATCATGCTAAAAATTACACAAATTGCTTAATGACCCTTAAGATCATTTTCTGCTCAGATTTCTGCAGCAGGTTCTTAAATTCCATGTAGAAAGAAAAGGAAGAAATAATGAAGTCAGAAGAGAACCATCCATTATTTTTTTCTTGGGTAAAATAAGTTAGAATTGCAGGATGTCTTCTCCATTTTGATCACATTTTTCATGGCTTGTGTCTCATGAAAAATGAGCTCAATTTTTAAACTATTGGATTTTTAGCCACCGAGGTCAACCTACCATGGCTTGAATGCCACTTACTCTTTTAAGTAAAACAGTGACTGATGGATTTTTGAAACTGCAAAAGCAAAATCCAACAGAAAAATGAAAAACTGATTTCAAAAAGCACAATTACTTGGAAAAGACAGAATTGAGAATCCAGAAGAAATGACCCTTCACAGGAAAACAGGTTCTCTAAAAATTGTGAGTTATAGAAAATGGTTCAGGGTTGCTATTGACAAAACATCACGGTTTATAAGCCTTTATTTAACTCTTATAAATAATATTGCTGTTATAAATTCTGTTTTTTAAAGATTTATTTATATATTTGAAAGTCAAAATTAGACACACACACACACACACACACACGGAAAGAGAAAGAGATCTTCCATCCACTGGTTCACTCTCTAATGGCCACAATGGCTAGGGCTGGGTGAAGCCAAAGCCCAGAGTGAGGAGCTTCATCTGTGTCTCCTGTGTGGGTGCAGCTCTTGGGCCATCTTCCGTTGCTTTCTCAGGAGCATTAGCAAGGAACTAGCTTGGAGGTAGAGCAGCCAGGACATGAGCCAGCGTTCATATAGGATGCTGGCATCTCAAACAGCAGCTTTACCCACTATGTCAAAACTCCAGCCCCAAATTTCTATTTCTATATTTTTTTTTTTGCAAGAAAAATACAACGCTGGGTGTGGCTAGTGCTAGTTAGTGCTTGTTCTGCTTTATTTACTATAGTATAAGAGAGTTAATCCTTCATAAAAATACACATTTTACCAGAGCAGTCTATACCACAAGCATTCTTAGTTGCTTAAAGAAGAGAATGAGGCCGGTGCCACGGCTCAATAGGCTAATCCTCTGCCTTGCGGCGCTGGCACACCGGGTTCTAGTCCCAGTTGGGGTGCCGGATTCTGTCCCAGTTGCCCCTCTTCCAGGCCAGCTCTCTGCTGTGGCCAGGGAGTGCAGTGGAGGATGGCCCAAGTGCTTGGGCCCTGCACCCCATGGGAGACCAGGAGAAGTACCTGGCTCCTGCCATCGGATTGGCGCGCTGTGCTGGCCGCAGCAGCCATTGGAGGGTGAACCAACAGCAAAGGAAGACCTTTCTCTCTGTCTCTCTCTCACTGTCCACTCTGCCTGTCAAAAAAAAAAAAAAAAAAAAAAAAAAAAAAAAAAAAGAAGAAGAAGAAGAAGAAGAGAATGAAACATGAATTACAAGAAGATGCGTTTTCTTTTCCTGAATGTGTCTGCCAATGGGGGGTTGGTGGGGGGGGGGAGAACAGGCGTCAGAGATACTACATGAACGTGCGTGTTGCTGAGATGAGCTGTGGGCTCCTTGTCGTATGCTTTGCCCCATTTTCTTCATTGCAGCTTCCCCTTGGTAACTCCCTTTGCAGAGAAGGTTGGAGAAAGCCTGGAGTACAGTGCCTCTGGGCTGGGTCAGCGCAAATGAGATCATTTGCTCAGCGACACAGACAAAATGCAATTTCCTTTCATTTTAAAATAAAATGGTAGCTGCTTTTGTCCAGTGACACAGTAAAAATGAACGCAAGGCTCCTGAGTGTGGGCCCGCTCTCATCGTCTCTCTGTCACATTTTATCTCTGGGAGTGTGTACTCTCGGTTCTTCATCTCAAAAATCTTTGGACTCAGAGACTTCATATCTTGGTTCAATGAGGCAAATGATATGAACAACTCTCTGGCAGCCTTTCTTCCTTTCTTTTTCCCCCTCCAGGCGTCTAAAAACAGACTCATTCAACAAAAACTCAAGCAAATTCATATGTTTTCAGATAGTCGGGATAGTTCAAATGTTTTTAAAAAGGAGGAAAACACTAACTTACCAGTGTCACTTCTGTTGTTTGGGTGGTTGTCCATGTCTTTCTTGTTTCCTGTTTTCTTCCTCATGTTCTAGTTTCTGGTAACTTAATGTTCAAATAATTGCAACTGTATGAAAAGTTGCAGAAATGACCAGGATGCAAAGGGTGATGCATGTGTATGTATGTGTTTGTGCATTTATTTATTTATTTGACAGGCAGAGTTAGTGAGAGAGAGAGAGAGAGAGAGTAAGGTCTTCCCTCCATTGGCTCACCCCTCAAATGGCCACCACAGCCGGCGCTGCGCCAATCCGAAGGCAGGAGCCAGGTGCTTCCTCCTGGTCTCTCATGTGGGTACAGAGGCCCAAGCACTTGGGCCATCCTCCACTGCACTCCCGGGCCACGGCAGAGAGCTGTCCTGGAAGAGGGCAATCGGGACTAGAACCTGGCGCCCATATATGATGCCAGCACTGCAGGCAGAGGATTAACCAAGTGAGCCACAGCGCCGGTCCCCTGTGTGCATTTTTAAAACTTAGATTCTACCCCATAGAGTAAGTTGGCTAGGTCTTCTGTACCTTTCTCGACCGTTTTGTTTTCTTGATTTGTCCTGTCCTGACAGTGCCATTTAAAGTATCTTATTAATGCATTTTATTTATGTCTCCTTCCTTTTCCTGTGGTTTATGCTTTATAATTTTTGCTGTGTGTCTTTGGTGCACAGATATCATAACTATTATATCTTCATTGTCAGCAGGAGCTTGTGGTGTTGCAATGTGTCCTCTTCAATGTATTCCATAGTTTTTATCTGTATGCTTTTTCTTTAAAGATTTATTTTATTTATTTAAAAGACAGAGTTACAGAAAGAGGTAGAGACACAGAGAGAGAGGTCTTCCATCCACTGGTTCACTCCCCAAATTGCTGCAGTTACTGGAGCTGAGCTGATCTGAAGCCAGGAGCCAAGAGATTTTTCCAGGTCTCCCACGTGGGTGCAGGGGCCCAAGGACCTGGGCCATCCTCTGCTGCTTTCCCAGGCACATCAACAAGGAGCTGGATCAGAAGTAGAGCAGCCGTGACTTGAACTGGCACCCGTATGGGATGCTGGTGCTGCAGATCGGGGCTTTTACCTGCTGCGCCACAGCACTGGCCCCGCCTGTATTCTTGAAAGGGTCAAAATAAATAAATAAATAAATAAATAAATAAATAAATAAATAAGATCCCTACGTCGGTCACATCTGAGGACAACTCAGAAATATGTGAGCTTGCCTGTGTTTGTGTGACAGGAAAAATAGATAGAACTTGGTATCTCTTATGCTGATTAATTTGTCCGTCGAAAGGTAGAGAAGGGAGGGCATTTTAAAATTAATCAAAATCTCTGAATCTAAAACTAGGTGCAGTGTCGTTGTTTTGGCTCCTTGCCTCTAAACAGTCTCTAGATAGGTACCTAATTCTGAAGTTTGTGAAAAGTTCTGAGGAGCTTAGTGAGTTAGTTCCGATGCAGCTAGTTATGGAAGGATAAACTATGTAGCCAACAAATACCTCCTGTCTAACACTGGAGAGTGGCTTCAAGATGTTTCTCTGGCTAGGGCAGGTGGGTCTAATTGCGGGTCGTGTCTTCTTCCTTCAGTTCTTACACCTCCACCTCTTTCTTGACTTTCCTACTTTTTATGAAATACAATGAATTCCAAATTAGGCCCGTGATGCATACATGTTATTTTATATTCTTTAACGTCTTTTTACTTTTTAGTTCCTACCCTATAATTACTTAATGTGAATGGGGTCCTTGGTGTGGTTGAAATAGCCAGATTACCTCTCCACTGCCTTGACAAGAATATTGTACCTGTCAAAGGATATAAAAATGCCGTTATAGACCTTGTCCTTAAGACATTGGTTTTGTTGCATTCAGATTTTATGTTTTTTGAGTGTTTGTTGATTGTTAGAATCATAAGATTAGAATTATTAAGCTCTGCGACTTCTGTCCAAAGTCTTTTGATTGTAGTTTCAAATTCCGAAAAGAACTCTACTTATTTATGTAGAGTTTAGATCAGGGAATTAAATTTTACTATGGCACCGGAAGGAGGAAGCATAAGTGATAAAGGATACACAGAAATTAAATGAACTTAAAAACATAATTTTTTGACGTGGTTTAAGATTCCATTTTGATTAGACTCTTATTTAAAGCTACATCTTTTGTAGACATCTGTGCATTAGTAAACTTTTTATTTATAATTCTCAAAATTCAGAACCTATTTTTTATTACAAATAGAAAAAAATCTGAGCTCTAAATGAATAATATTTGACTATTTTGAGAATCTGTGAAAATGTGACTTCTACGCTGTGGTTAAGATTTCTTCCTCTG